TGAGAAACCCATGCCCACCCATTACTTGCAATATTCGGGTTCAGATTTTACCTATACCCACTAAATGTCCTTCGGGTTCGGGTTCTACCCTACCCGATTAGGCCGGATTCGAGCGGATATCCACGGTTACGGATATTTTTGTCATCTCTAAGTTTACGGTTGTTTTGTTAATTATGGACGTAGCTTTTGGTTGCAAGTTGTAAGTGTAATCGGAATTCTATTTGCTTTTTTTTTTTTATAGAATATAATTCCATTTGCTTACTCGCGTCTCTATGACTCTGTTTACGGATTCTCGACCTCTTCAATCTCCGGCGGCGGCAGAAGAAGATGACAATGAAGCCGAGCGTAGCGGCGCCGACGACTGGAATCACAAGCGCCATTAGAATCTTACTCGCATTCTTATTTCCTCCGCCTAATATCAAACATAGTTAGCAAAATACTAAATAGGCACGGGTAAGTTACGTACAAAATAAGTACGAGTATTTTACTTCGCCTTTAAACTAATATCACGTTTAATAATACGTTAACAGTCATAAAAATTTAAAATTAATTATTTTAAAAATAAATAAGTATATAAATAATAATTAAGTTAGCAATTTAATTCATTAAATACATCTATCAAAAGTGATATACGAATTTTATACTTGTTTAGTACGGGAGCCATTAAATGAATAAGAAAAAACAAAATAATTTGACAATAATATGTATATGAAAGTTTTAAACAGATAAAATACTAGCCGCTATATCATCCACTCAAAACTAATTCAAATAACAAGCTTACCTTCCGGAGCCCGCGGCGGCGGGGCGAACAACAATGGTGACGGCGATGGCGATTCCGTCTCGTTGTAAAACAAATAAGTCTCGTACCGCAACTGGCAACCGGGCTGCCAGATCCGCGCCCCAACCCGCCCGCCGATGAGCCGGTTCCCGACTCCGGTGAGGCAGCCGCCGCAGAGCTGCCGCGAGAGGTCGGGAGAGCACTGCGCGAGCCCGTAGATGGTGACGAACCCTTGCTGCTCCCGCTCCGTCCCCGCGGCGAATTTCCTCACGGAGCTTCCTCCCGCCGCCGAGTCTCGGAGCCGGGTCAGCAAGTTGCCCAGGGCCGCATCGAACCGGGCCGGGTCGGTCACGTTATGGCCGTTCGTCCGGTGGAAGGTGGGCGGGTCCGGGACGGGCGAACCGTAGAGGGACCGGTTCGAGTACCCGATCTGGCAGTAGTCGGAGTAGCCGAACGCCTGCTTCTGGACCGGGCAGTCGACGAGAATCCGACGCGCCGCCGTGGCGAGGCAGCGGCGGCAGTCGTCGAGTGGGACGTCGCCGCGGCAGAGAGCGATGGCGTTGACCCGGTCCGGTCCGGGCGGCGGGCCAGAGGAGAGGTTGTAGAAGCCAGTGGTGGTTTGGTTGTCGGCGGTTAGCGAGGAGAAGAGGAGGGTCTCGAGATTTCGCTGGTATGGGCTGCCGTCGGTGTAGTTCCCGGCGTCGTCGGAGCAGGATTTGAGGAGGAATTCCGGCGGAGGTGGCTGCGCGATTGTGTGACAGGGCAGGAGGAGGGTGATGAAAAGAAGCGGGAGAAGGAGGAGTGAAAGTGAAGGAGGATTCATTGTTGGAGATCGAAGACATGAAAATTGGCAAGTGAAAGAACTAACTACTTCTTCACAGCCTATAATAATGTCAGATGGACTAATATTGTACTTGTAGGTTGGTATAATTGTAATCCGTTATAATAATGTCAGATGAACTAACTACTTCTTCACAGCCTATAATTGTAATCCGCTATCCACACCACATTCTAATGTAGGTTGGGTTGTGGGTTAGCTCGCAAAAATAATTCTCAAACTAGTCATTAAGAAAGTTTACTACATTTATAATAAATTCTTTTTACGTTAGTAAGATTGTATAAATTTGGACACCTCCCACTTTGTCTCAGGTGAATCCATGTAGTATTTGCATCAAAATTTTCAACACTCTATCAACTAATTGTGTAGAGAAATTAAGAAAACTTAGGCATGTTGCGACTATGAAAATTAATACTTTACAATTTACCTCCAATATTTGATGGATATTATATAACACAATAACCAATAATAATAGTAAAATATATTCTTTATTCTCAACTTATAAAAGTAAATGGTTAGTGTAGAGTACAGTTAGGAAATATAATAGAATATTCGATAGCATAAAAAATAACATTTTATCGTAGGAAAATAGTATTTAGTTTTCAAACCTAACTCGTGGTTGAAATTTTCCAAACAGGCAAATAGTATTAAAAAACTCTGATAGACATGGCACTTGTGGTTGAAATCTTCCAACTCAAAACCCAAAAGTTAATAATTATAATCCGTTCCCTTGCTATTTTGTCCCCTTATATTACGTCATAATATTATTTAGAGGTGGCTATATTTTGAACCTAAACAAAGAACTCATTCCAAAACCAAATAGTGAATAAATATTGTATGTCAGGTATCACGATCTACGACTTTGTCTAATATGAAGTTGTTAACTCATGACTTTATAACATTTTTATACCCAAAACTTGCGCGTAAGATGTTAAATATAACATTTTTCTGGCAACAGTCAAATTATTCTGAGTTATAACATGATAAATTAGTCTAAATGGTCCATAGACATGAAAGGGTGAATATGTCAATTTTTTTCTTAATTATTATAAACCCTAGCGTCTCACTGCTCACTCTTCTCTTGTGATCAGTTCCCTCGTTCATCTCCGCTCGTAGTTTGAGATTGAATAATACATTACTTGCTCGAGGAACTCCACATAATAAAATTGTACAGTTTGTGCTCGAGAGGATTAGTAAAATACGGTACGGGAAAGTTACGTATAAAATACATACGGGTATTTTACATCGTTTTAAGCTAATATTACGTTTAATGGTACGTTAATATTCATAAATTTATAAAATTAATTATATTAAAAATAAATAAATACGTAAATAATAGTAAAGTTAGAAATTTAATTTATCAAATACGGATATTAAACGTGATATATGGGTTTTATACGTGTTTAGTACGGGAGACATTAAATGAACGAAAAAATAAAACGACTTGACAATAATACAGATACGAAAGTTTTAAACGAATAAAATACATGTACGTCTATTACAATTTACAAGTAACCCTTGTGTTTCGTACTATATCTTACAAAGACAAACCGAGTCGTCTTTGGTACCGTTTTAATGCCACAAACATGTTTAGATATTTAGGAAGAAGAATGAAGACACAGGCAGCCGAACACCCGCAAGACATAGGGTTTGTTCCAACATACACAAGTGGGCTTACTCATGTCATGTGGATTCTTTTTTAACCATGAATTAGAATGCCTTTAGCAGATTAGTGTTTACCTTTTAAGCCTTTTCAAGGACAAAGCTAAGAATGCAAATTACATAAATGATCACTCAACTTTTACATCAAGCATGCTCATCGTACGTTGGAAAGTTTTTTCAATATGTCATTTTGTTAAAATTTTTATTAAAAAAATCATCAACTAACGATCGAATTTTGATTTGGGTGACATCTAAAATATTCATAATAAATTCATTTAAACATTTTTCTTTTGTATAGCTCAACATTCCTAATAATTTCACTTTAATGAGACTGAGAGAAATAAAGGAAGGGGCAAAACTGACATTTTCCCTCCCATTTTGCCAAGGTCAGGTCGTGCGAACCAAAAGTTTCACTGTAGTTAACAATTTTTGGATGAAAATTGTAACATAATGGCATGTTTGATAATTTTTTCAAAGTATAAAAGCATATTTGATGTAAAAATAGTAGATGAACATGTTTGATAAAAATGGTCACCAAATTATGGTCACGTAGCCAGAACCGAGAGTATACTTCAAAATAGATCATAGTGGTAGATTACATTTTCTCATTCGTGACAAAAGAATATCTCCTATCTCATTAAATGTATCTAATCAGAATGCAGACCTTTTTTTTACAATCAAAACCTGAAAATTTTATTAATGGGCTATAGCATCATGCTCCAGAATAGATAACAAAAAGAGAGGTGGCCTCCCGAAACTCCTATGCTTCCCAGTGACATTGCGTATGGGCGAAAATGTGGTCAGTCTTATTGCACTCTTTTCTCGCAAAACTCCACTGAACCGAATCAATCCGGTGGACTTCAACTACGGGAAAAATGGTTTCTTGTAACCCCAAAAAAGTGTTGCATAAAGTTTTAAAAGAGTTGTAACATACTAGCGCAACACTTTTACTAGGGTTTTTTATAGTGGGGGTTGCAAAATGAATAGCCAATTGTTTTTTCATTTTTCGCAACCAAAATTAAAAGGGTTGCGTATTATTACCTCTTACGCAACACCACAATAGACAACATGTTTCGAAGTTTTTGCAACACATTTTACCAACATATGCAACATCTTTTACAAGTTTTTGCAACATTGAAATTTTATTTGTGACAAGTCCAAATCGTCACAAATGACTAACCAATTGTGACAAAATTTTCGTAGCTAATATTAATATTTTTGTGATGATATTATCGTCAATAGAAATCCTTTTTGTGACGAGTTAGTGTCGACACAAAAATAACAAGAGTGACATATCTAATTGTCACGAATATTATTATTTATGACCATAGCTCTATCACAAATACATTCTTTAAAATTCATAATATGATTCGGGGTCGGGTAGGGTGTCACAAATGTAACTATTTGTGACCAATTTCTTAGTCACTCATAGTATACTTTTGTGAGAAAGTAATTGTCACAACTACAATGGTATATATGGTATACAATATTGTCAATATGGTATACAATATTGTCAAAAGAGGCATCTATTGTTATGTTTTTGTTGTCACAGAAAATTTGTTGTATTATACGAATGGTTTTTGCCATAATACGCAGCAATGATAATATACTTTGCTAAGAACAATATTTCTCCGGAAAATTATAGTCCTCACCATCTAACAAACAACAAAGTAAATATGTACAAAACCTATTATAAACATATGGAACACAAGGGGAAAAAAATGGTAAAAAACTTGTCTATTGATCCTAAAATCCTTCGTTGCCTGTTCATCGAACACAAAAGTGGTTTCTATGTCACTTTTTAGAGAGTTGATGTTGCGCTGCTACAGAACCTCGAATCCTTTCTAAAATCCTGAGTGGCTTCCCTCAACAGTTCTTGGGACGGAGCTTTCGAATCAGTGGCTCCATGATCTCTTGGTGCTTACAAGATTTCAATCTCCTTCAGCTTCATCATCCCTTAGCAGGCATCTGTGCAACCTTTCTCTTTTGGAGACTTTGGAGGAAGAAAGAAAAAAGAGAGTCCCGCGGTAAATAAATCCAGGACCATGGAGTATATGAGGAAAGGAGACCAAACGTATATGGAAAGGGGAAGAGGAGAAAAAGAAATAATCAATTAAAAATTAAATATGATATCCAAAAGATCCCCAAAATCATTTGTGATACTCATATAAAAAGTGTGAATTTGTGGGTAACTCCAAAAGGGAGGTCGATCTACACCATTGATTTAAATATCATCTACGATTAAATGATAATTATCCTCGTAATTTTTATTTCAGCCAACAGGATCTTTTTTCTTGCATTAGTATTTTACCCAGATGGCCATACATGCTCCGTTTGGAGTTTGGCTTAGCAAGAAATAATGCTAATCATATTCACCGGAAATAATGTCAATTATAAAATAAAATGATGCAGTCAACCTAGTCTGCAAAAGAATGTCCATTAGTGAGGAGAATTGCATTCCCAACTTTCCATCGTTTTTATAGTTAGCAAGCTGTTAAGAATGGACAAAAGTTGATCTGATATATATTATTTATAATTATATAAGTACTCTTCCTTTGTCTAGGCAACTCAAAAATTAATTATTATATATATGTTGCGAATAATAGAGCAAATGCAACATATAATTGATTAAAGTTGCGTAAACTACTTAATATGAAACTTTAAAAAAAAGTGGTGCTATTGTATATCTAAGGCAACTATTTTACACTGTGTTGCAATTTAAGTGTTGCAATAGGGTCTTTTTCGCAACTCTAAGAAAAAGTGTTACTAGTGTATATTTGACACAACACTTTCACATAGTGTTGCAACCATGTCTTTGTTTGGTTCCTCAATGACAAAAACACCGTCTGGCAATCCATTCAAAGACGACATGCGGGAGAGATTTCATTTCCTTCAACCGGAGGCCAAACTGGATCGCTCGGATTTCAGCTAATTCCAGTGACCACTGGGTTCGTTCTCGTCGGACACACGCCCACAAGAATTTTCCATGTTCATCTCGCACTACCACTCCAAAACACGTTCCCTCTCGCATCAGAACAGCCACATCGACGTTCATCTTCAACCAACCCGCCGACAGCTTTTGCCAGGTACGAATTCTCTCCTCTTCCTCAACCATACCCTGGAGTTTTGGCTTTGGTACTCTTTCTAGTAAGCAATCGCTTTGCCTGCAATTTCCCATTCCTCTGCCTTGTGGTTGTGTGAATAATTGATTGTTTCGCTCATACCACCAAATGAACCAGAGTAGGACCCCGAATTGCCCTAGGGTGTCATCATCTGTCATCTCCATAACCTCACGCAACCACTTCCCATTCGTAAGGGTTTCATCTATAGTTCGAATAAGTTCCTGAAAGAAGTCTCCAGATTCGAGTTGTCCACTCACATTCCCTAAAAATGTGATTTTGGGTTTCCTCCATGTCACAAAAGGGGCAATTGGGGCTCACATCCTTCTTCCTGTCCTCAATGTCCTTCCCGTTGGGAAGGATATTGTGTGCCAATCTCCATATGAACACTCTTACCTTTGGAGGTATAGAGAGTTTCCATAAATGCTTCCAATTCATAGGGTCATAGACCTCCACTCCTGTAATCTACTCCTCCTCAGGGTCTAGCGCCACTTCTCCCCAATGTATCTCCTGCTCTGTTCTCTTCTTATACCAAAAGTGATAAGTTGTTTTAATAGAGTAAACACCACTCTTTTCAAAACACCGCACCTGCTCATCTTGTGCTGGCTGTTGAGGAATGGGGGTCCCTTGCTCTTCCACGATCTAGTGTTATGGTCAATCAATTCAACAACTGTTGATGTCTCCCCTATATGACACTGTGGGGAGGTAATCTTGAAACTGTCCTCCTCTGCTGTTGCTAGCCATCTATCCCGCCAGATTTCAGTCTTTCTTCCATCTCCAATCCTCCATCGTAAGCCATCTCTCATCAGAGCTTGAGCTGCCATTATACTTCTCCACGTGAAACTAGGACTATAGCCCACCCTCGCCTGTAGGCAGGGGCGGAGCCACATCTTGGCTGCCCCCCCCCCCCTCCCCCGAGAATTTCGAAAGTTATGTGTAAACCCAACGAGCATCCTGATTCTTTCGTATTAACTATGGATAAATTAGTATAGTTGTAGTGTGCATTTTAGTAACAAAAAAATCAGGGTAGTCTAGCGGATGGGAAATGCTTAAATAACTCACAGGTAACGGGTTCAGAACCTGAGAGTGTTGGTCTTGGTTTATTTTTCCAACTTTTAGGCTTTTAGCTAAAAAATGACTTAACAGGTATTCATTCCATAACATAACTCCTTTAGTTTCAAATTAGATTAGCTAATAACTTGTATATTTAGTTTTTATTAAATCCTTTAATTTAAAACTAGATCCATCAACCTTTCAACTTCAATTTTTTACAAAAACTTTTGTATATAATACATAAATTGTTCTCCAAATACGCAATATTCTTCTTTTTTTTAATTATGAAAATAGGATGGATATACAATATTAAAACACATTTTTTTTTCTTTTCTAATCTACATTAAACCTGCCATGGTAAAAAAATTAGTTTAGATTTTATTTTGAGTGACTTTAATCCTCTTTAAAAGGTACAGTTATCATAATATTTCAAATATTTTTCGTTTATTATTTAAATAATTTTAACATCTTTTTGCAGTACCAAAATATGAAACTCCCCCCCCCCCCCCAGCACCAAATCCTGGCTCCGCCCCTGCCTGTAGGACATCTGTGTTTGGATAATATTTGGCTTCCAGGACTCATGCTACAAGAGAATTTGGGTTTTGTAGGAGGTTCCATACTTGTTTCCCGAGTAAAGCCAAATTAAAGGTCTTCAGGACTCTGAAACCTAAGTCTCCTTCTTCCTTAGGGTTATAAAGTTTCTTCCATGCTTTCCAGGAGATTCTCTTCTCTTCCTTCTGTTGTCCCCACCAGAAGCTAGAGATAGTTTTCCTTAGTTCATCAAGAACCCCATCAGGGATCAGAAAGACTGACATCGTGTAGGTATTTTGTGATTGGGCCACAGCCGTGATAAACACTTCTTTGGCAGCCACAGAGAGATTCTGGCTCTTCCAGTGTTTGATCTTCTTCCTCACTCTATCCACTAGCACCCCAAAAATAAATTGTTTATATGGCAGGCATGGGTGAGCCATATCTGGCGAGAGAGGTGTCGTCGATTGTATGCAGGGGAGACAAAAGAATTTCCTATCCTACTGAAGTTGATAAAGGCAGAGGTTGAATGTGTGCTTAGTAGCCATCGAGTTAGTCTTTTCTAGGTTGGGTGAACTTTTGTCTCAGAGGCTGTAGTAGTAGTAGTAGAACTCGATTGTAGTAAGGCAGTTGCTAGCACCCACTTTTTGATGAATAAGAAACCCATCGATTCATAAAAAAAAATGTTCAAATGTTTAACTTAGAATTTTAAAGATTGGGTTAGGCGAAAAGAAAAACCAAAAAATAGACGCATTTCACAAACCAAAAGAAAAACAACGTTGTTTGACCTCAAATCGGATACCATGCAGCTGGTAGACCCGACGGATGTGTAAGGCCTGTCAGGATCAAAGCGGGTTGACCCACGGGTTTACAACCTTGGGATAGACATAAACAGGAAGCAAAATTAAGGAAGTTCACATGTATTGTTTTATACTATCCGTGTTTTGGTTAACAAATATATTTGTACACATTATATTAGGTATAAATTTAATTTGTACCTATATTGTTTTGTAAACAAAAATTATATTATGAATTGAATTTGTATTTTTAAAATTATAGTACAACTTCAGTTTATTTTTTATAAATCATTTATGGTACGAACTAAATTTATATCTTTACAGTACAAATTGAATTTTTTCTTTTGAACATTTCAATTTATATATAAACCACCGCTATTTAAAAATATAGTAGAAGGATTCTGCCTGCCTATGATAATTATTCAGGGATATCATAAAGCCATTGGTAAGATGGCTACGCAACCCATGTAATGTTTTGTCACATTTGAATAGTGCTAGCTTATTAGGGAGTTTGGTTTGGTCGTAATTTGAACCATTGACATTCTTATTTTTTTCAAATAAATTGTAACCTGGCCTAACGATCCACATCATCATCTCTGCTCCATCACCTACCCTCTTTCTTTGTGTATTGCCTTAATCGCTTTCTCCATAACACTAGTCTAATTACTTGTTATAAATTGATGGTCCTCCAAGTTGGAGCTAACATTCCAAGTTCAAGAAGTTTAAACCGCAGTAATTAGAGAAGGTGGTTATGTCAATAACAATCGTGACCTCTCGGTCACAGAAGGCTCTGATACCATGTCAAGAACCAGTTGATCCCAATAACTCGAGTTGTTGGGAAAGGCTCAATCGTGGATCATATACCACAACACTAACAGGTTAGAGGTGTAATATAATTGCTAATTTTTCTTCTTTGTAGTTAAAATTATTGGAATGAACTACTAAAAAAGATTTAGTAATTAATGATTGGTAGAACTACTGATGATTAAGAATCACAAAGGAAAAAAAAAACAAATGCTCTCTTTATTAACCATTATATAACACTTATTTGATCTTCTTTTTTCCTTCGAATACAGAGAGCACCATACAACGAAACAAAACAATATTATGAACACCAATAAATGAACGTAATTTTAAATAATAACAAAATAAGAACCTCAACTCTTTAGTGACGGGCATTCTTAGCCGTCGTACAAAACACTGCACAATTAACCACGACATACCTTCGTCGTTATAAGTTGACCTTTTTTTATTATTATCACATATATAATCAACTTAGAACTTACCAAGTTAACTAATTAGTTAATCTTGTAACAGACTTTCCTGATTTCTCCAGCACGCCCAGTCAGCACACCGATCCTGCCCATCTTGACCATCGATTCCCCAAAGTCCTTCAAGAAAGTAGATCCAGCGGTCACCGACTTCTCCACGTAAGCCTTGGTCTCAGCGTTGTCGAGCATGGCCGCGTCGGACTGGAACAAAGCCCTCCTTTTAGCGACGAGCTTAAAATACCCGTCGTCAAAAGTCTTAAAACTTCCCGGGTCCATTTCCACCACCGTGGTCTGGTCGGCCGGCGACCTGCACTTGCTCCGGAGCCTTGGGATGTACTCCGAATCCAGCGTCGGGTCGACGTCGCCTTTCCCGGTGAAGTTGTAGATTCTGTTGGTGAAGGAGGAGCAGTGGGAGATTCCGATGGTGTGGCTGCCTTGTAGCACCACCAGGTCCTTGACGGAGAGCCCTCGAGCCTTGAAGCCGGAGATCAAGGTCGAGATGTTGGCCGACGGCGGTATCAGGGTGAAGGCGTCGGTCAGGATCGACACTCTCCCGTCTCTTCGCCCGGTCTCGACTTCCCAGTACATCCCTTTCGTCTGTGATTACGAAACATATAATAAGTTCAGAAATTTGTGAAAACGTGTTCATAGAGAATGCACGGTGATTAAATCACTTGGTGTGTTAGGTGTTTTGTGGCATGTTGGATGGACGTGGTGACGATTCTGTAAAACAGAATGTCACCACATCCATCCGACAGTTACAGGATGTCTAAGATGTCATCTTACAATATTGTACTTCTGTAAGTACGTTCTCCTTGTAAGCATCATAGTCGGGTTGGACATGGTCTAATCGAGAGCGACTTACCGCGACTGTAACGTCTCTGGCTACTATGGCCAAGGTATCGGCGCAGGAAACGACTCCGGGGCATTCCTTCTCTAGGGCTTCCTTAACCCTGTCGATGACTCCATACCCTCTTAGGGTGAAATTAGGGGGAGAGTCCTTCTCAGCTGTGTTGTTCTTTGTGGAGTTTATTAAAAGTGAACCGTCACAACCCTGTCACATGTTTGATGAACAAGATCAATTAATTTAAGGAATGCTTAAGCAATCTCACTAAACAACAATCTGAGATTCAAACCTTTTCGTTCTGTAACAAAATGATCATTAACGAACTAAAAGTTCAGACAAATAATAACGATACTCGAACTTTTTCATTTTGTAACAAATTTCTCACACGCAACGCAGTACTAAAAGAAACCTTTTATCTACGGAGGGATGAAATGTTTCATCCGTACTATTTATGTTATCTCGAAACAAAATCAGCTCGTGCTAGCTATTTACGATGAAAAAACAAGATAGATAGATACTGTGTCGGTCGACGGCTAATCTGATTATCGTGGGTGTTTAAAAAAATGTTAAGAACGCGAATAGACACGGGATGCTTACCCTAACGAAGCAATCATGGAAGTGCATCCTGAGCAAAGGGCCGCTGAGGCTAGGAGCCACATCCATGACCTGATCCATCACCTTCTTCACAATTGCCTCAGCATTTGGGCAACTCTTGGCGTAGTAGCCAACTTTGAGTTGGGCGTTTGCTGCGGTTGCGAAGAAGCCGAGGAGGAACAAAGCCTGAAAGAGCTTTGATGAGGCTGCAGCCATCTCTGCTTGTAGTATGAAGGAATTTTTTGTGGGTGTGTGGGGTTTGATTGAAAAAAAATGAATTTATATAGAGAAGCTTGCAATGAGTAAAGCGCTGACCAAGGAATTGGATGGATCATGTTGTTAGCCTTTCATTAATTGTTAACTATTGGATTAATTAAATATGTGTGTAATCCCAGTTAAGGGAAATAATTGGTTTTATTTGCTTGTTATCTGTCTTATTGGTGGTTTTTCATTAGTTTTTCAATATGATCATGTTGAAAGTTGATGAGTTGACTTGAGTTCTTATATACTATAATCACTATGCCACATTGAGATAGACATAAATATGTTATCAATTGTGATGAAGGTTGTGAACAAGGCAGGCTGATGCATGTGGAGAGGAAGGGAAATGGTATAGTGTGATTATTAATCAATATTCATTTGGTTGGAAATAGGTGGACATTGAATCGGTTTCTTCTGTGCAAATTTTTTTAATTCAAGTTGAAATGAATGAAATTTAATTACAAAATTATGGACTAAAAAGATCATTTCATCGCGATCTTTATATCTAACCTCACTTAATATCAAGAGACCATATTTGGTTATATAAAAATACACAACCTATGATTATCCATTTGATCCTTCGTTGTTATGGTTATGTTGCAATTGTTACTCGCTTATTTGTTTGATTCATATCCTGATAGAAAATTATTAATAACTTAATTTTTTCTTTCTTTTCCAACGCTACGAATAGACTTATTTTAATTATAATTTCACGAGATTGAGGTAATGATAATGAGAATTGTATATTCATCACATTCTACAATCAAATATTAGGGTGAATAATCATTTGAAAAACTTATTATTTGAATTGCAATTTTAGAAGCCTTCCTTCCTCGAAATTCAGGAGGGGTCGTTTGCCCGTTAGAAAATATTAGGGTGTGAGACCCAAATTAAGCCCATCAATGATTTCAGCAAAATCCAATATTTGTTGAATTAAAGTTGGGGTTACCAAATTCATAAGTCACGAATTTGGAACTCCACCTACTAAGTAGAGGTTTGATAAAGAACCCTAAATTCCCTATGATCTTTGATTACAACATCCTTATATATGTTATATACTCCAAATCATTAACAGTAAATTAAATTTGCTTTTAAACCCATAAATCCAATGCAACAAGTCAACAACAATCATGATCAAAATTTAATAAACAAACAACAAATTTTTTGAATTCGGTATTACACAAATTCTTCATAAACAAGGTTGTCCACCTGCGAGTCGACCCATCGGTTGACCTACTTGGACTAGGGGTAGCTATACGGTCCGGTGCAGTTAAATTGCCCAAATTGATCTGGTCTAGTCCGGTCTTTTCGAAAATATAAGGACCAAAGGTGATGGGACTACTGTTCGAGGCAAAGATGATATCAAGCAAGCTATCATTGGTCACTTCCAACTTAGATTCAAGGAAGATAATACCAGCAGGCCTTTTTTAAGGGATTTCAAAAAGAACATATTGAATGTTGAAGACAATTATATACTCTCGGCACCTTTCGATGAAGCGGAAATCTGGAATGCAGTTTGCTCTTGTGGCAGGGACAAGGCGCCAGGACCTGATGGTTTTACTCTGGAATTCTTCAAAAAAGCGTGGAATGTTATCAAGGGAGATGTGATCAAGGCCGTGGACGAGTTCTACTTGCTGGGTTTCGTTCCGGACTCCATAGGCCACTCCTTCATTTGCTTGATTCCGAAAAAGGAGGTTGTTGAAGAGGTTAAAGACTTCCGTCCCATTAGCCTTATTGGTAGCCTGAACAAGATTATTTCAAAGCTTCTCTTCAATCGTTTACAACCGTTTATGGATAGGGTCGTCTCTTCAAAACAGTTTGCGGGAATCAAGAGAAGACAAATTCATGAGGCTGGGCTTATTGCAAATGAACTGGTGGATAGTCGCAAAAGAAGTAGGCGTTCGGGCATCATTTTCAAACTAGATATTGAGAAAGCATTCGATACAGTGAGTTGGGGATGTCTGTTTAAAGTTCTGCAGAATATGGGACTTTGTTCGAGATTCCAGAAATGGCTGAAGGGGGTGGTTACCTCTACTAAACTTTCAGTCCTGATCAACGGAGAAGCTGCTGGTTATTTTGATCGACAGCGGGGGCTTAAGCAAGGTGATTCTCTATCACCGTTCCTGTTTAACTTGGTCATGGACATTTTTTCTTTCATCATGGATCAAGCTCAAGAGTCAGGACTCATAAGAGGCTTTTTTATGGACGAATACAATGAGAAGGGGGAGATGAATCATCTGTTATATGCTGACGATGCGATCGTGTTCTGTGATGCATCGGAGGATGCAGCCATTAATCTTACGGCTGCCCTGATTTGGTTCCAGAGTATTACCGGTTTAAAGGTTAATTTTGAAAAAAGTAAAATCTGTCCGGTTGGAGATGTGGACAACATTGATCGAATTGCTGAGATTCTAGGCTGTGATTGGGGTTTCCTTTACACTGAGTATTTGGGTTTCCCGCTTGGAGCCTCCCCTTCTTCGGTCCCAGTTTGGAACAAAATTATCAATAGGGTTGAGTGTCGCCTAGCTGGTTGGAAAAGGAACTATCTCTCACTCGGGGGCAGAATTACTCTGTGCAAGGCAGTGTTATCTAGCCAGCCCATTCATATGTTCAGTCTATTCAGGGCCCCGGTTTCGGTTATTAATCGTCTTGAGAAGGTGCAGCGTGACTTTATTTGGTCGGGTACTCTTGGTGTCGGGAAATCTCATCTGGTTGCCTGGGATGTTTGTAAAGGGCCAAAGAAGCTTGGCGGACTTGGTATTGCCGACCTCAAGTTAAGAAATCAGGCGCTTCTTTGTAAATGGTGGTGGAGATTTGCTCTTGAAAGAGGAGCTCAGTGGCGAGAACTTATTAGCCTTAAGTATCCAAATTCTCGGTCGGAGTGGATGTCAGGTCCGGCTATTGGTCCTGCCGGCACTAGTCCGTGGACTCAAGTATTAAAACTAGGGGATGTGTTTTGGAAATTCGCTCGGGTCGAACCAGGTTCTGGGATTGGAACGTCCTTTTGGCATGATGTGTGGTTCCATGGTCGAGCTCTTGCCCGGGACTTTCCGCGGGTGGCTGCTGCATCTGCTTCGCCGGACTGCTGGATTGCCGATGTGGTTAGGGTTAGTAGTGAGGGTTTTTCTTGGGAAATACCACTTACTCATAACTTGCGAGGGGGGGGGGGCTGAGAGAGAGCGTGAGAACCTCTTGTTGAGTCTTAGCAATATGTCCGCTAACCATATTTTTGCAGGTCCGGCGCGACTAGTTTGGGAGCCTGCTCCTGCTGCCGGTTTCAGTACCCGATCACTCTATGGGGAGCTCATCAAGGAGAACAGATCCATGGCGGTTAACTTCCCTGTCAAGGTGATCTGGCAGAATACCATCCCCCACAAAGTCTGTGCCTTCTTGTGGATTGTTTTCCAGAAGAAGATTCTTACACATGATACTCTTAAGCGGAGAGGTTGGTCTTTTCCAAGTCGTTGTGTGCTGTGTGGCAAGGATGAAGAGACGATACACCATCTCTTCCTCTTGTGTTGTTTCTCTCGTGAAGTGTGGAAGGGGATGATCACCTTTGTTCCGATTCAAGAGCAGTCCCAAGACATTGTCAATACCATCAGATCATGGCGCTGCAGTGATGCCTCCAATCCGAAGGAGTGGTGCTCGAACGTTTTCTTACACGCTTTTTGTTGGCGGATTTGGCTGGAGAGGAATGCTCGGATCTTTAGAGATGATTACTGTTCGGTGCAAGGAACTTGCTTTAGAATCATTTGCAGCATTCATAACTGGCTTTGCGCCTCGAGCAGGGTTGACAGAGCCGTTGCTGACCAGTGGAGGTGCTTGGCCAAGGACCGGCTCTTCCCGAGCTCCCGTGCGGCTGGTGATGAGGGTTCTGATCAGTTGTCATTGACGGGATTCCAGTGACATTGCTTTTGCTCGGTCCCTGTTCCCTCGTGTTCGTTTGTAGCCTGTACTTTTTGCCGGCTGCCTTCTGGTTTTTTCTTTGCTGCAGTTTTGCTCTCGTCCGTTGTATGTTTGGCTTTCCTTGTGCAGGGTTTCTTTTCCCTTCCTTCTTTGTAACTTTTACGTTTATTATTTAATCTATATCAACATTATCAAAAAAAAAAAAAAAGATTGGATTGGATACAATCCGGTCTTGATCCGGTTCGGGTCTTGATCGGTCCGGTCCGAATTCGGTCTTGATTTTATATTGAACTTGTGGGGATTTGAGTGGCCTAAGGCCTGAAAGGATGAGGAATTGGCTAAGTTTTGTACTAAGTGCAAATGTTTGTGACCGTTAATGCTAATTACTCTTAAATTGTGGGTGTTGAACTCTCTTATCCAGTCTTTATCTTGTTTTTTATCCAGTTTTTTACCTCAAATCTAAGCCCAAAAATTGGATTGGATTGTTTACTATCCGGTCCCGGTCCAGTCTCGTCTCGGTCCGGTTTTGGGTAAAACAAAAAAACCCGAACCAAATAGCCAGCCCTAACTTGGACTATGACGCGGTGAGAAAGAAGGGCCGCACACACCCACCAGGTCAACCGTTCCAAAGTATCAAGTTAGAGGTCAATTTGTGTCGTTTCTTCCTTTGGTTTGCGAAATGCGCCTATTTTCCGGTTTTTCTTTTCACCTAACCAAATCTTTGGAATTCTAAATTGAACATTTGAATATTGATATTATATAAGTGTGTTTGAGTTTTCACTATAAGTTGGATTCAAGTACGACATGTTATTTTTGTGTATTGTTATACGTTGTTAGTGATATGTTAGATGAGATTTGATGTAATTTATATGTGTATGAAGCATATAATGACTTTTTTTATATATCTGGGCTAAACCGATCGGACCATTAACCCTCAACCCATTTACTCATAAACCTTTCAATTTTTTCAAATCAACGATTTTAATCATATTCCCTTAACAAACAAACCCTAAGTAATTGCTTTATCTTTTTCATTGCATAATTTTCAAGTTAAGTTAAATGAACAGAATCTATCGTCATTTAGGG